CGCGTGGCTCCCATCAACAGGCCGCAGACCCCGGAAGGCCAGCGGGGCAGGCTGAGGTGCAGCTGTCAGATGCCCTCTCGAAGCCTGCCTGGATTTGCCCCTTCACCTGCAGGCAGGGTGGGAGATTCTGGTTCACCGGCTAGAGCCAGCTTTGGAAATGGCCATTTCAGGTACTACTGATAAATTCAGGGGAGCACCAAGGCTGGTGACTCATCAGCACCCCCAACACAGCCACAGAGACTTGAGCTTTTTCTAAGAGACGTTGAGAGGAGCTGGCTCCATCCACGGGACCACTCTGTTGTCCACACCACAGCCCACAACAGCCTCACTGGGCTCTAGACCACTTACTTCTGCTGGAGGTGAAGCCCCACACTGAGCAACAGAGCAAAGTTCCCACCCTCTCCCAAGTCTCACCCATCCTCTGCCTGGACTCAGGTACCCCCAGCAGAAGTGCTGCAGTAATATTCCCCTAAAGGGCAATCACATCTGCCCACCCGCTGTGCTCTGAGTCTCGCACTACCCTACTTTGAGTTCCTTGCAGCCACCCTGCAAGCAGAGGACCCTTCTCCCCACTTTACAAAAGGGAGACTGAGGCACATAGAGGGAAAAGGTGTGCCTGTTGCTCTCCTTGGCAAATACTGGCATGCAGCCTGTGAGGCCAGGGAGACTTGTCAGTGAGCCCACTGAAGAAGCCCCATTCCCTGGGGACCCTGCATGCTACCAACTGAGGCGAGGACCGGGTAACCGCCCATCCTGATTGAGCAGGTTCCCAGGATACAGGACTTCCAGGCAAGCTGTGGCAAGTTGGCCACTCTGGGCTTGAATGAAACTTGGCACACAGCGTCCTTGAGCCTGGGAGTCATTGTCTTCTGCTGATGGCCACTCTACTTAATAACAGTATGAACAGCAACCCCTAACTCAGCACTCACTCTGTGCCAGGCCCTGAGCTTGGGCCATCTATAAATTCTGCTCTCAAGCCCCGCAAAATGATACACTGACACTTGGGGAACGGGGGTTAGCCCTGTGCCATCCAAGAGTAGCCACATGTGGCTATTAACATTTAAAATAATTAACAATTAAATAAAATGTCAAAGTCAGTTCTCCAGTGTGCAAGCCACATTTCAAGTGCTCAAAAGCCAGGCGTGGCTAGTGGCTACCCAGTTGAACAGTGCAGAATAGAACATTCCCATCACTGTAGAAAGTTCTGTTGGGCTGTACCAGGTTAGACAACCTGAGAGGCAGGATAAAGTGCAGGCTCTAGAACTAGTCTTGGCTCTGCCACAGAGCCACTTACTGTATAAAATGGGGACATTATTAGTGCCTTCCTCAGCACTGACATAAGGATGCAATGCAATGCTAGGAACAGTAAGGCCTATAATAAGTGCTTAATAAACACATATTTTTAAACCTTTCCAAGGTCAAGTTGTGAGTAGCAATGAAGTTAGGATTAAGACTGTTTCACCCTGTGGTCCATGCCCTTCACCTCTAAGCCTCCCTTTGCTATACAACTGCCAGGTCCAGGGCATGAAGCAAGCTTTTTGCAAATCTTGCTTCTGTCACTTGATGCCATCAGCCCCATTTACAGATGAGCAAACTGAGACTCCATGAGTTGCTGTTCCCACAGCCAGCCTGGACTTGAACCCAACTGTTTGGCAACAAAGCCCACGTTGTTGGCACTTCAGCCCCTGCCTTCCAGAGACCTTCCTGGGAGCCCAGGTCTTAGAGGCCACCAGTAAGGCAGGAAGCATGCATGCTGGGCCCTCCTCTGCCAGGCTCATTATCAGGCATAATTTTAGACTCAGTCCCACCCAGGCTCAGCCTCTGAGATCAGTCACAATCTCCACAGGTGTCCTGCGCTGCCGAGAGGGGGATGCCTCTTGGAACATGATGGAAGCAGCATTAGCCACATTTTATAGAGCCCACTCTTTGTCACAGTTAAGCATTTTCCCCTTTGAAAGCACATTAATACTACAAGGATTGGAGCTGGGGGAGTTGCAGCTGAGTCACCTAATTTGCCCTTATGGGCTGCAGTTTTCGGCTTCTTACTTACTTTAGCTGTTCTTCGTTCCTCAGACAATTTCTTTCCTCTCCCAGTGCCAGGGCAAGAAATATTTTGTCCTTTTGAACTGAACCACCCACTGGTTTGTGCTTCTCTCGAGCACTCTCTCTTTTTTTAAGGGATGCTCCGAGGGGGGTGGGTGGGGAGCTTCCGCCCACTAAATTATCCACGAAAACTCCCAAAAATAGAGGCTCTCAGCTGGGGTGGGGACACGCCAGCATATGAGGAAAAAGCGAAAGAGGAGCTAAATCAAAGCAAATAGAAAGCGTCCAGGTGGCCATGGGGAGGAAGGCCCAGCGAGGCTGTAAGACATCTGGGCTGAAGGAGACCTTGAATCACCAGGGAAGCCTTTTATTAGAATCTCTTCCCTCTGATAGCCTCATAAATAAGAAACACAGGTATTTCTGCTGAGATGCCACACACTGTGCTGCCCAAACAACCCGACTCAACACCAGAAGTATCTGGAAGGACAGGGGCACCCTTGGGGCCCCGAGCTGGCCCTCTAGCTGTGTTTACAGCCCAAGGACTGTCTCCATCTCTCCCTCACCTTGACCATCATCCCTTTCCTGTCTCTGAAAGGTGGACAGCAGTTGAGAACTGGTCTGGACGTCCACATGTCTCAAACCCAGAAAGTGGGATAGACGCAGGTGTATGAAAACCAGAGCTGTGAGGGTTCTTGATCCATCCAGCCCAGGGAACGTTTATTGAGCTCGTGCTGTGTGGCAGGCATGAACTCACTGAACCTTCGCAGCAGCCCTGCACTTACCATTTTATGGAAGAGGCAACTGCAGCACAGAGAGGTTGTGCAGCTTGTTCCAGATTACACAGCTAGCAAGTGGCAAAGGTGGGATTTCAACCCCAGCCACCTGGCTCTAGAGCACACCTTCTTAGCCACTAGGCTACACTGCCTCTCATGTGCCATCCCAATTGCTCTGAGCTCTCCATCAAATAGCTATTCGTTTCCTGCCTTATTCCATGCACATGGCTCTTGCTGAGTAGTGGGGATGGGATGGGGACCCAAGACATGGACCTCACATTCTACCTGGTTGACAAAGCCACCTCAATGCCTTGGGAAGCAGAGGGGAGCTATAGGGGCAGCAGGAACTGTCTGCGGAGACCATCCATGGTGGAGACCTCCTGGAGGGTGGTCAGCGCGGAAGTCTCAGCTGCCTCATCTATAAAATGCAGCTACCCCTCCCTCTTAGGGAGACATGAGGATCTGATGTCACTCACTGTGTCTAATGAAGCACTAAATGCAGTGCCTGGTATACAGTAAGCACTCGATAATGGTACTAAAATTACTATTATTATGTTGCCACAATATATAGCAGTTATGTAAGTACCCAGATCAACCAAAGATAACATTTCAGAGGCTTCCCATCCCTTGTAGAATAAAATCCAAATATCGCACTATGGCCTTCACAGTCAGCCTCCAAGGAGGTCCCAGTGGTGCCTGCCTGGGTGTTCCTGCTCCTGTATAGTTCCCTCGCTTTCTGTGTAACTCTAGGGTACTGCCAGCAGTGATGGATGTACACCAAAACGGTGGTGTCTGACTTCTGAGGCCAAGGCCTAAGAGACAGGTGGTTTCCACCTTTCTTTCTGGGATCACTTACTTTGGGGACAGTCAGCTGCTATGTTGTGAGGACAGTCAAGCAGCCCTTGGGAGATGTCTGCATGGTGAGGAACAGAGGCCTCCTGCCAATAGCCACGTCTTCAGATTTTGCAGCCACATCACCCAACTAAGCTGCTCACAGTCCACAGAAACTGTGAGATAAAACACACTTGTTCCTTTAGGCCATTAAGTCTGGAAGGAACAGCAGATAACTAACACAATGGTCTCCAAGACCCAACCCTTCCCACCGTGTGAGTTCATCTCCCTCCCTCTCCCATTCATCCCTTGCTGCAGCCTCGCTGCCCTTCCCCAGCCTGGTCCCACCTGGTAGCTTCTGGGCTACTTACTCCTTTGTCTGGAGCCCTTTGTCCCATGGTTTCTCATGGCTGGTTGCTTTCATCCTCTTGGTCTCGGTTCAAATGTCATCCTACGAACAATTCTTCCACGACTCTCATCACTAAGGTAGGTTTCTGCCCTGAAGAAGCACCCGGCCCCACAAATCTCACAGCACCCTGTTGTTTTTCCATAAAACATTTACCAGTTACTACAAATTATATATTCATTCACGTATTATATGTCTCCCCTGTCCCCCAAGTTAAATATAAACTCTAGAAAGGCAGGGACTTTGTTTTATTCACTGCTGTCCCCTCAGCACCTAGAATGATGCCTGGCATATGGCTGGACCTAAAAAAGGCTTGTTGAGTGAATAACAGAATACGAACTTGTCTTCTCTGTTTGTTTACTTAGCTATGATTCATCTCCCCTACAAGACTAGGAAAACAGGGACATGCCTGTCTCACTGCAGGCTTGGAATGATGTCCAGAACCAGTGGGTACTCAGTAAATAATCCTATCTCATGTCAATAGAGTGGTGTCTCTATGATAGGCTGTCTCCCAAGCCTAAATCATTCGGTCCTCACAGACACTCTATGGGATGAAGACCATATTATCCCCATTTGCAGGTGAGGAAACTGAGGAACAGAGACCCCAGGCCATCAGCTAGCAAGCAGCAGAGGATGAACTTGGACAGTGGCAGCCAGGCTCCGGAGCCATACTCCTAGGTCTTTCAACATTTGTTGATGACTGGCAGGGAGGTATGACTGCCACCTTCTCAGCCGGCCAATGAGGCCCCTCACCCCATCACATGGCCGAGGAGGTGGAGGAGATGTTCAGCCGGGGTTGGCAGGGGCAGGAACGGGGCGGTGGCTGGGCAGTCGCAGAGGCCTTCCCCGTTTACAAGGATGGAAAGGTTCACTTCATCCGGAAAGAACTCCCAGTTCTGTGGTTGTGGCAGAGAGCAAGGTGTCTCCCCAGGCTGGTTCATTTCAAAATACATTGTCTTGCTTTTAATAGCCTCCCGGATCCACTCTTGGAGGTTCTCATGACTGACTGTTCCCAAAATAATACCCAGAGCAGCTTTTTCCAACTCTGAATTGCTGAATCTTGCTGCCTCCCAATCAGCCGCTGGCTGCCACTGAGCCCTGGTAATCCCAGGGTCCCCCAAGCCGAAGGTGACCCAACAGGGAGGTTTCCAAGGCATTTGGAGAGATCCCCAGACGATCCCTGCCAGCTCACAGAACTGCTGACAGCAAGTTTCCAGGTAAAGCCGGCCCCTCCATGGGGCTCCCTCCTCTGGTCCAAGACTGCTGAACTGGGATGGGACAAGAGGCCAACGGCAGCCCTCGGAATGCCCCGGGCCCTCAGAGAAGGGGGAGGTTTTCCTAGAAGCTGGAGAGCTGATGTGGAACAAGAGGGAACTGGTTCGGCTTGCCTTTTTCCTTGGGTGGGTAGAAAAAAAGAAAGCAGGGAGAAGGGAAGATTGATCTCGTGTGCACTCCTCTGAGAGCTAAGCCTGCAATATTGTTTTGTTAAAAGATGCACTGAGATGCATGTAACTCGGATTTTTCTCCTCATATTTTAAAAATAGGCTATCTTGTTGCTTTATTTATTCATCATGTACCTGCAATATTCTGGGCAATGGGGATGCAGCTGTGAACAAAACAGGTGCAGATGCTGCCTTTATTGAGCTTACAGTCTGGGGGTGGATCATGAGTGAACACATGAATACAGACACCCCCACTGAGTGGTGATGTGTGCCCCACAAATACATAAAGTGGAGTGAGAAGACAGAAAGGGATGGGGAAAGGAGCTGGTGTTAACCAGGGGGGTCAGAGGCTTCACTGAAGAGGTGACACTGAGCAGAACTGAATGAATATGAGAACCAGCTCTGCAGATAGCTGGGGAAGTGCCCTGAAAACAGAGGGACAGCATGTGCAAAGGCTCTGAGGACGTGTCCTCTATGGTAGTGAGCCTGCTGTCACTGCTCATTCCTTTAGGCATTTGACAAGTTTTCTGTGGCCCTGAATTTGCTGCTGGAGATACAATGGGAAAACAAGACAGTGCATGTCTTCAGAGAGTGCTCCATTCAGTGCAAGCAAGAGAGGTCAACATATATGACAAAGCATGATTCTAGTCCTACAATGGGAGAAACTTAGGGAGTCACAAAACACATGGAAGGGGCAAAATAACCTAGTCATGGGGGTAGGGGTGGGGCCTCCACGAACAGTCATCTGAACGACAATAATAGTCACTAAAATTTATTGACTGTTTATACTGTGCCCTATTCCAAGTGTTTGACATGTATTAACTCATCTAATCCTCATAATCTTTGAAATAAGTTTAAATAATTTCCCTTTTCAAAGATGGGAAAAGAGGTTAAATACCTTGCCCTAGGTCACACGGTGGAAGAGCCCAGAATCGAACCCTTAAAGAGACAGGACGTCTTCTCCACTTCTGCTTCCTGCACAAATGGGGACTTGATGCTACGAGCTCAAACAGCCATTCTGGACCATTTTAGAAACTGTGTTAAAGAAGACAGAGCTGCTAGACAGAAGGTCGCTAAGGATTCCTTGGTAAGAAAAAATAAATATCTAACTTATTTAAGCTACTGCAATTTGGGAATCAGCACAAGAGCTAAACTTGTGTCCTAACCAATATGGATTTTATTTTAATAGTACGAAGACATCAAGTACAGAAACATTGAGTGACATGATCAGAAGTGCACTTCAGAAAGATGGCCACAGGTGGAATAAAGAGTCGGGCTCCAGAGCCAGCTGGCCTGGGTACAAATCCCAGCTCTGTCTCTCCCTAACTTTGTCACCATAGGCAAATTACTTAGCCTCTCTCTACTTCAGTTTCCTCATCTGCAAAATGGGGGTAATACTACCCAACTGGAGAGCTGTTGTGAGGAGTTAGCACATCTAAGGGTGTTTAAAATAGCATCTGGTACATATTAGGGAGCCTTAGGTTCCAGGAGTGCAGCTGTAGGAGGACTCCTCTTACCTGGGGCCTTTGATCTTGATGAAAAGGACACTGGAACCTCCCTCTCCCAGTAGGCACTGGCAGGTACCTGGGAGACTAGAAGGTGTCCAGAGGCAGCACCAAGCCTTCACTTGCAGTCAAAGGAAATGGGCCACGAGAGAGCAGACCTGGATGAGGCACTAACCACAAATCGCACCACGAGGCCCTGGGCACTGTATCTAGAGTGGGGTGCGGCCCAGGCCACAGGGCAGAGAGCCCCCTTGGCACAGTCCAGCCCAGAAGCCATGCCGGGGAGCCTCACGAGGAAATGGGCAGGGGCCCTGCTGGGAGAAGCATGCCCCCCTGCCCCCCGCAGCTGGTTCCCCAGGAGATAAGAAGCCCAAACTTCCTGAGGATATGCTCTGGACCTTCCCGCCGGCTCCTCCGGGCTTGTCAAAATATTTCTGTGTAGAGCCATCCCTGTTTTTCCATTAATAAAAGTATTTTTGGGCTCCCGGCAACAATGAGTGAGTGTTACAAAAGAGGCTGGGCCTTCCAAGGTAAACACAGCTCGCCCAGGCCTGGGCTGGTGGCTCTGGGCTGCCGAGCAGGGGAGCGCCTGTTCTCATTAAGGGGCTGCCTGCATGATCCGGTGGGCTCTCAGCCACGATCTGGGCCAGGGAGAGCTGGCTCTGCAGCTTTGCACCTCTCTGGGGAAAACAGAGTCTCACAGTAGAGCAGAGGAATGGCGCCACTGCTGTTCAGGATCCCTTGGGCTTTTCTGGTGCCAGGCATGCTGCATCCATCCATCCTTCCCTCCAGTTGGTCAGTCAGTCAGTCAACACACATATATTGAGGTCCTGCTCTGGGCCCAGCACCAGTCTCTGGCCTAGAAGAGTGAAGCTTTGTGGGTCAACAGATGTGGAAGCAGGTGGATCCACAGGGGCCGTGGCAGGTATGGCCCCAGGGTGGTCATGGTAGATATCTGTCCCCAGGAGAGGACAGATGGGAGAGGACAGATGGGAGAGACTGTGGGCTCTGGGTTCTAATTCTGCTCCACCACTTTCTGACCATGGACCTTGGGCAAGTGACTCAACCTTCCAGGGAGTCAGTTTTCTCATCTGCAAAGTGGAGACAGTAGGAAGTCAATATAAGGAATATGATTAGAAGAGAACAGTGCACATTGCACAAGTGTTTGCTATAAAATAATTGTTAAAGCAGTCAATATTTGTGAAATGAAAAAATAAATGGATGGAGGGAGTCACTGTGTCAGGGACTGTATTAGCAATCTATTGTTCAGTCACCCCAGAACTTAGTGTCTTAAGACAACAATACACATTTATAATCTCACACAGCTTCAGTGAGTGAGAAACCGAAAAGTAGCTTGGCAGGATGGGGGGTTGGCGTCAAGGTCTTTAACTGCACTGAAGTCAGCTTGCTGGGCAGGGCTGCACCATCTGAAGGCTTGACTGGCGCTGGGGGCATCCATTCCAAGGTGGCATCCTCCCATGGCCGGCATGTGGGTGCTGCGTGTCAGGGGGAGGTCTTGGTTCCTTCCCGTGGGCCTTTCCTCAAGGCTGCTTGAGTGTCCTCATGACATGGCAGCTGGCTTCCATCAATGAATGAATGAAGAGAAAGAGAACCAGGCAGAACCACAGGCCATGACCAATCACAAAAGCCACTTCTGGTACTTCCACCACATCCTGTTCCTTGATGTGACTTGCTAAGTCTAGCCCACATTCACATGGAATTAGGCCCAGCCTGGCTTTCTGAAAGGCAGTGTGTCAGAGAGCTCACAGATAATGTTTAAAGTCATGACAGTGACCAAATAGATTCTCTAAAGAGACCAGAAGGCCCCCAGATACTATCTCCCCCAGACCAAAAGAGACCATTGCAGGAGTCCATTTATTTGAATGCTGGAACATTCCAAACTAATCTCATCCAAGTAATGAGACCAACAGGTGGCTGGGTAGCAGAGGAGGGGTCAACTGCAAAACGCAGTGGAGATGTTCTATATTGACTGGGGTGATGGTCAAAATCAATTGAATTATATACTTAAAATGTGCATTTCATAAAGTGTAAATTTAATTTAACAAAGTTGACTTTAAAAAATACCAGCTTCCTGACTCACGACACTAACCGTTCCTACAATTTCTTTGGTCTAGTTCTAGTGGTGGACACACTAGCACCATACTGGCCCAATGTCTGTTTTTATAAATAAAGTTTTATTGGAACACAGCCATGAACATTTGTTTATGGACTGGCTATGGCTGTTTTTGTGGCAACAGAGACCATAGGGCCTGCAAAGATGCAAACATCTACCATCTGGCCCTTTACAAAGTTTGTTGATCCAGTTCTAGAGGAAAACTAGGAGCCTAATAGTACTTTACATGCATCAGTTTTCAGGGCCAAATGTGCCCAAGTTTTCAATCTTTTTACCCAAAGGCTGCTGCAGCCCCCAGCTCACGTGTGTGCATGGCACCTTCTCTCAGCAGCACCAGATGTGGGAAAATCCCTTGATTTGCCCCATTAGGGATCCCTTTGACATTTCTTTACAAGTGCCTCGCACAGCACAGCCCGTAGGGTCTGAGCTGCTGAATCAAGAAGGAAGGGGAATGGAAGCCAGCCCCGTGGAGCTGGAGATGGTGGCAGCCCTCCTTGGGGAGTATTTACATTCCATAAATTACATTTATCTTATCTACATTCTTCCTTCCTTCCTTCCTCCCTCCCTCCCTTCTTCCTTTTTCCCTCTTCCTTTCTGCAAAGATGCTCTGGTCCACAGGATTGGCTGTGTAGGCTGAATTCTCTCAAAGTGATTCTTTTCACAGCGCTGACTCAATTTGTAGTCAGGCAGGCAGTATACGGTTACACTGTAATCAGCTTTAAGAGCAAAACTAATTAAACACCGAATGGGAGCTCTGAATGAAAGGCTGCAGGGAGGGCCCTGCCTACCACAGGCCTCTCTCCCCAAACCTGGGAAGTCAGAGCCTGTAATGCAAGAGAAAGACAATCCCAAGGTCCCAATCCTGCAGACCCTAAACCCTGACTGGAGGGGCCTGCGGGCAAGAGGGCCCTTATGGCCCAGCCTGCTGGGGGCCCTCCTGCAGAAGGCTTCCTCTGATCGTCACCGGCTCTGCCCCACCCTTGACATCCCTACCCTCCTCTTCTGGAAATAGTGCCCCAGTTCGTATTTGAGATCAAACCTTTCTCTCAGCTCATGCAAGGGGTGACTGCATCCCCAGCTCTTAGGGTAGGCCTGTGGCCAAGGTCCTCAGCTCAGCAGCATGCAGAGTGATTGATGCAGGCCAGTGAGAATCAGCTCCAGGACTTCCTGGTTAGGGAAGAGAACCTCACTCACACATACAGTGTCTCCTTCCTCCTGAGATACAAGGATGTAAGCCTGGAATTGCTATCAGCCATCTTGAAGTATCGCACTCAATAAATATAGCAAGGTGTCAGAGAATGCGAGCAACAGAGGGGAAGGCCAAGGCACAGAAAGAGATTAAGTGCTGCTGATGACATTTGAGCCCCTGAATCCAGCCACACCTGAAGCCATGGGGAGCGAGGGAGGGCAGGAAGGAAGAGAGGAAAAAAGAGGTGTCATGTGACCAGGGCCTAAGCCAATAAGCGCTCAGAATTCCCCTGAGCACCCTGATTGGTTCAGGGATGAGCACATCACCTGTCAGGGCCAGTGTTATAGGAGGAACCGTCAGCTGGGCTCCGGACAGACACATTGTTTTCTGCTGGAAATGAAGATAGAAGGGTGTGGCAAGCTGGAGTAGCCTGCGCAGGACGGCAGTGCGGGAGAAACCCAATCCTCGTCACAGTGTTTGAGCCCCTGAACCCAATTAAGCCTGAAGTCTGGCCCTGGACTTCTCAGTAATAGACTCCCTCCTACTACTTGGATCAGTGTGTAAGGTTGCGCAGGGCATGGGTTAAATTGGAACTTCAGCTAAACAACAAATACATTTTTTAGCGTAGCATGTCCTATGCAATATTTGAGAATTACCCATACAAAAAAAATTATTCGTTGTTTATCTGAAATTCAAACTTAACTGAGTATCCTGTGTTTTATCTGGCAACCCTACCAGTGTGGGCCAGGTTTCAGATTCCTTGAACTCAAGAGTGTCTTAACTGATGCCCAGCCCCATCCCCTTCCATGAGGGCACAGAGGCACCCACTGGCACTGCCTCCCTTTGCCGAGCAGCCCCAGGGCCCACAGCTGGAGTTTGCACTGTCATGCCATCGCCCTCTGTTGGGTTATTTGTCCTCGGAGCAAGGACACTTCCCATGGCCACCCTCCTACAGGAAGTGCCTACTATCAGTCAAAGGCTATCCAGGCATCTCCCTGCTTCCTCCCCTTGATGTTATTCCAGGAGGTAAGCAACCTACAGTCCTGATCATATAAGTGAGTAAACTGAGGCTCAGAGGTCCAGTGACTCACAAACAGTCACACAGCTAATAAATGGTGGTGTTGTGTTTCATACCAAGTCCAGGTTTTAGGAATTACACTTCCAAGCAGGAGAAACTAGGGAAGTAGCTGCTCCCGATGGTCCTTTAGAGGAAGCCTTGTGGCTGCCCTCGGGATGGAAGCAGGAGCCCGGGGAGGTCTGAGTCATGGGGCTGGAACAGCAGGAAACCCAGCAGGCTCCTGCCCTGAGGGATTTCAGGGCCTGCGCAGAGGGAAAGGGGAAGGACTTTGAACAAGCTGTCCTGCGACAGCCAGTGACGTGGAGGGAGCTAGGAGATGGGGAAGGGGACCCCCTCACCTCTGGCCTCCTCGGCCTCTCCCAGGCCCCTCTCAAGGGCTCTGCACTTCGAATTTTGCTTCTTTCTTTCTTTGTTGTTACCACTTAAAAATAAATAAATAAATAAAGTAAACCAACAAAGCAAACATCTGGAAAGCTTTGTGGAAAATGGCATCTTGCTCTGAGGACCCACCCTCCCTGGAGTCAGAGCGCTAATGCCCAGGGGACTTGCAACTGGCCCCCAAATGCTCCTCGAGGAGACACAGGCCCCTCTGTTCTCCTACCAAAGCCCTGTCTTCGCCCAGGGTCATGTCCACTCCCCCCAGGGGCTGGCTCCAAACTCGCAGGCCTGACCAAGTGTCCCCCAGGCTCTTGGGCCTCCCTGCCTCAGGCCTAGCCCTTCCCCAACCCTGTCTCATCAATCGCCCTCCCACTTGGGTCTCTTCTCCACTGCCTCGTCTCAGACCCTCACCTCGTTTCTCCTGACGCATCACCAAAGGCCCTCGGCCCATCAATGTCATCTCTGCTTCCCCTCCAACCAACCCCTCTCTCACCACCACTGCCAATGACATCTTCCCAAAGAACAGTTTGATGAGAACATCACCCCCCTGCTCAACAACCTTCCGGGACCCGCCATGGGCTCCTGAAACAACTAGCAGCTCCTTCACGGCAGGGTAGAGCCTCCCTGTGATGGGGTCCACTGTTTGGTTTTCTAGCATTCCTGTTCTCGTCTTTGGCAACCCCACTCTCGGCTTTCTTGGGG